CCCCAAAACCCCAAAACCCCAAAACCCCAAAACCCCAAAACCCCAAAACCCCAGAGCCTTCGGTGATAATGAAATTTATGATAAATAATTTAATTTTACCCAAAACTTAAGATGGATAGGGAATTTGAAGAGGTACTTCAAAGCCTTTAACCTAAACTCTAGGTGAAGAATAGCTGGGTCAACAACCACAAGAGAGATAGCAATTCTGAGAATGAACCTTCACTACCAAATCTAAGCTATATGCAGCACTCGAACAATAGTGAGGAGGAAGTGCCCTTAGAAATATCCGATTATGATAATTCATGGGAGGTGAAATACATGGATGACACTATCCTCAACTGCAACGTCAACATCACAAAGTACGACTCTATAAGGGGCTTTACATTAATGGCTTTGGGAATTATTTGAGCAACAGTCATGCATGTGTGAGCAAGAACAGCTTTTGCCAGGAATCCTGAGCTCACTAATTTCGATACATTTTCATTCATAGGCTACATCCTGCCTATTTTCTACCTCATTGCTGCTCGAATAAAGGGAGTCACAGTGAACTTGTATTATTTTGAGGAGAAAATAGGTTTCATGATTCTTTTCAGGACACTTGCAAGTAACTTTATGCATATCTTCCTGTTTGCAGGATTTAAATACATGTCTGATGCCAAAGGAACCCTGATATTCAACCTAAACCCTATATTTTGAATCATAATCGCTTTCTTTGTTGTTTCAGAAAGGATCAATGCACTGAGTACCGCCGTCATAATCGGCTCTTTGTGAGGAATCTACCTCTTTGGCCTGAACGAGTCTTACTCTGAAACAATCGGATTGTTAGGATACCTTTTGGTCTTTGTGAGTTCAGGAATTTATGGCTGAATACTTGTATTAATTAGGCTCTTGAATATAAGAGGCGTACATTATTTAGTACCTCCTTTCTATATTGGAGTAATGGCGTTGGTAACTACAGGAGTTGTCACGATCTTTTTCCCAACGCATATTAGCATGGAATATGATAGTATAGACATTCTCTATCTTGGATTGTATGGCTTGGCAGCAGCTGGGGCTCAGCTGTGCCTCAATGCTGCATTCCAATACGAGCTTGCAATAACTTTATGATTATGACAATATTTGGAAAGGGTGCTGATACTCCTAGTGGATATCCTTCTATTTGGTTATGCCTTCTCCATAATTGATATAATGGGAATTTCTCTGATAATTTTATGAATAGCAACTCTTATCATTGTAAAAATAATATAATCAATTCAATGTCATGAGTAAGTATTGGGGTTTTGGGGTTTTGGGGTTTTGGGGTTTTGGGG